ATGAAAAGGATAACACTGCCATGCATCAGAAACGTCTCAGAAACTACCAACAAACTATTACAGCCACATGGCATCTCCGTAGCACACAAACCAAGGAAAGTCCTCCAAACATCTTAAGTAAACTAAAAGACCCCGTAGCCCAAGAAGAAAAAACAGGAGTCCTCTACAACATACAGTGTAAGGACTGTAACAACCACTGTGTAGGGCAGACAGGCAGAAGGCTAGCAGAGCGCATCCATGAACTCCAGCTAGCAGTCAGAAGACATGATGAAAACTCCTTATTCTCACAATACATGGACAGACTCAACCACAATTTCAACTGGGAAACTGTGAGCATCCTAGACCAAGCCAAATCCAAAATGCTAGGGAATTCCTGGAAGCTTGGCACTCAGACAAATCAGCCATTAATACACATAGAAATAAACCATATTTACACATCGTTCAAAAGAGACAACAAAAAGCTAAGAAGGAAACAAAAAGACCAGGACTCATCCTCTCCAGCAGCCAACACACAGATAAGCAGGGATTAATACCTGACAAACAAACAGAAAACAATGCCCTAATCAAGGAACCACCAAGGAGAAAACCTCATCCCCATCAACACTGACAGGGCAAGCTTCTGTATATAAATAGGGAACAAACTCCACACTCACTAGCACTGATGATGTTACTTAGTTGGGTAATGAAACATCTTCAAGCAAACAACCAAGCTCAGAGAGCACCAAGGATTTCAAAGTAAAATACATGTTACTGTGCTTTCTGCTGTTCCACTTCTTGGTATCTTGTATCCATGGAAGCTCCACAGAGTGTCTTGTACGTCTATGTGTATTCTGAAGAATTACTGCATCCTTCTACCAGGAAGAAGTGGTATTTTTCTCTTCTTACTTGCAAATTAGTTAGAACATACAGTTGCCAGTATCAGAATGTTAACCACTTTCTCAGCATTATCTTATCCCCATTGCAGAGCTGCAAAAAATGATAGATAAATAGGTAAGGTAGATTAGAAATATAGAAAATGTGTCAAAAATCAAATCTAAAATCTGACCTTGAAGAGTTGGGAAGGAGACACAGGCATGCTAAAGTAGATCAATCTAAGCATTCTTGGTGACAATGAAATATTATATATACATTGTCACCAAGTATTGTCATATATATATAGCATCAAATTCATTATTTTAATTTTTTTTTTTTTTGTACCTTTGAGTCAGTGTTGACTCCTGGTGACTGTCTGGACC